CTCAGCCTCCCTAGTAGCTGGGATTACAGGTGTGCACCCCCACACCCGACTAATTTTTATATTTTTAGTGGAGATGGGGTTTCGCCATATTGGCCAGGCTGGTCTCAAACTCTTGACCCCAGGTGATCTGCCCACCTTGGCCTCCCCAAGTGCTGGGATTACAAGCATGAGCCACCATGCCTAGCCCCTCCCTGTCTTCTTACTGCCCCAAATCTGTGTTCCCTCTTCTGCCTGGGCCCTTGAGATACTGCAGGCACCTCCCTGCCAGGATGTGTGTACGTCAGGAGCTGAGCCCCAGGCTTCTCCACATCACTATCCCCAACACCTTTAGGAGGGCTAATACCTTGAAAGACATGGAGAAACATGTTCTGTGCATGAATGACTTTCCAAACATGGAAACTAACCACCTGCCTTCACCTCTTACTTCTTTCCCATCAGGGATAAACTAACTGGTATTTTGAAGGTCAAAACTGCCTTCCCTTTTGTTAGCTGCGTTTTGTTGCAAAATTTGCTTACAAGAGCTTATTTTGTGATGAAGAAAGCCATTTAAAACTCTTCTTTTTAAACAGAGACAATTTCTGGTAATTGCTGATGTTCCTCTGTTTGCCTCACAGGAAACAGAAAATACAGAGCAACAAAAGTCAAATGCATTAAGATGATGGGAAGGGAAACAAGGTGGATTCCACTTCCACCACTCTGACTCTTTTGTTCCCATTCTCATCCTGCTGGGAGGAAAAAGATACATGTTTTTATCCCCAACACACCAATGGGAAAAAGGAGACATGAAGTTTGAGCAACCTGCCAGGGGTTATTCAACCAAGCAGAGGTTTTTCAACAAAGCTCAGCTCTTCTAACTAAACCTAGTGGGAAAGACACTGATCTGGCTGGCTCAGCTACTCAACAGACCTAGGGGCTCTAACGGAATAAAATCAAGTTTGAGCTAGAGAAGGAGTCAGCAAACTACCTCCCCTAGGCCAAATTTAGCCCACTACTTGTATTTGTAAATAAAGTTTTATTAGGACACAGCTATGGCTACTCATTTACATGCTATTTATGGCTGCTTTCAGGCTACAATAGCACAGCAGGGACCTTCTGGCCAGCAAGCCCTAAAATATCTGATCCTTCCAGAAAAAAATTGCCAATCTCTGATTTAGAGAACAGTTGGATCTCTTGGTTTTGTTCTCTTTTCCAATGTTAGAATATTGCTGGTCAAATTATTTCAGTTGACAGGGAGATTTTTATTTTAAAAACTGAAAATCTTTGATTCAAGTGTCTATCATAATTTGGAGAAAAAGCTCGATGGTTTGGTTTAGGACTCAGATTAATATAGTTTCTCTGCTTTGGGGACTTGGTTGTTGTTCTTGAGAAGAACATTTTTACAAATGTAGAACGAAGTGGGCAGGTGACCTGGAATGCTCTTTGCTCTGGAAAATGTCTTTTATTCAACGTTGAACATACACTGCTCCTTCTAGCATTAAGATTTCAAGACTCTATCTATATTCCATTGGCTTCGCTAATCCTGTTTTCACCAAAGGTCCAGATATCATTTGTTGGCACCTAGCTTTTCTCATAAATAGAAGTATATCCTCTTCGAAATTCTTTCATAGATACCTCTTGAAAGCTAAACATTTGAAAAGAAATACACTGCCCCCCCAAACACTAACGTATTTTACAAGTCATCTTTTAAAGCTAAATGTATCTTACAAGAACCCTGCAGTGGCTTCAGAACTGAAACCCAGCCTTCCAACTCTTCCTGTAGATGTTTGACCATATGTGACACTTTCATCTCATTTTTTGAAACCTTTTACTATGGGAATTTTCAAACATATGCAAAAATAGAGAGACTAGTCAGTCCCCAGCAACCAGATTCAACAAGTATCAACATTCTGCCATTTATTTTTCCCTCTCCTGACTTTTTGTTTACTGTTTGTTGCAGTATTTGATAGCAGACTTCACACATCGAATGACTTCACCCATGAATGCCTGTTTCTGTTAGATGAGGCCCTTTTCCTTTTAACGAAACCATGACACTATCATCACATCCAACAAAATTAATAATTCTTAATATTATCTAATACCCAGTCCAAACTCAATTTTCCCTGTCTCAATAATGTATTTTTATAGTTCATTTGTTCAACTAAAGATCCAGCTGGGTGCAGTGGCTCACGTCTGTAATTCCAGCACTTTGGGAGGCTGAGGTGGGCGGATCACAAGGTCTGGAGTTCAAGACCACCCTGGGAAACATGGTAAAAATACAGAGCAACAAAAGTCAAACACGTTGCAATGATGGGAAGGGAAACAAGGTGGATTCCGCTTCCACCACTCTGACTCTTTCATTCCTCGCCATTCTCTCTGGTCTCTACTAAAAATGCAAAAATTAGCTGAGCATGATGGCGTGTGCCTGTAACCCCAGCTACTCAGGAGGCTGAGGCAGGATAATTGGTTAAACCAGGACCCGGGAGATGGAAGCTACAGTGAGCTGAGATCACACCACTGTATTCCAGCCTGGGCTACAGAGAGAGACTCCATCTCAAAAAAAAAAAAAAAAACAGAAAAGAGAAGCACCATATTTGACTGTGAATTCTACCATTCATGAGCTGTGCCACAATGGATAAGTTACTGGACCTGATTCTCAGTTTTCTCATCTGTAAAAGGAATAATCCCACCTACCTCACAGAGCAGCACCTGTTAACACTGAATCATAAGCTCTTTACACAAAAGTCCAGCAAAGATGATGATGATGGTAAAACCACTGAATACTTTACAAAGCACTAGACTGGAATGTCTTCTGTCTATCTTATCTAACCCTCACACTAGTCCTATGAGGCAGCTCCCATTCTCATGCCACTTTCATAGAAGGGGTGAGTGATCTACCCAACATAACACAGCTACGAGTGTGAGAGAGCCAGGATATAGAGGACTTCAGGGATCTTTCTGCCAACCACAGTATGGTAATAATTCCCAATACTAATATGCGGAGGTGTAGGGGTAGAAGCAGAGCAGCCCGAATTAGCAGACCCTCCCGAACAGATCAATTGTTATAAACTCCTAAGTTACAGCATTCCACAGCTCCTACCCTTGCTCAAACAGGAAGCCCCCAGGAGGCCCCTAGTTTCCTTCCTTATCGGGGCAAGCCTTCAGCTGTCTGCTAAAGAGTTCTTAAGCCTTTTTCATCACAAGCCTCAAACATCTAACATTTGTTCAAATATTTGTCCAAAGTAAGATTGTCATTTTTTTCCTAGATAATCCCTTACTTCTTTTTTGTACATACATTAGGTGAAAAAGGACTGAGGTTCAACTCCCCTGTGGCCACTACACCGTGAGAGGGCTGACCTAGCCAAGTGAAAGGGGCACTTGGCAAAGAACTGAGGTCCTGGCCAATAGTCCTGGCAGATCTCCTAGCCAAGAGCCAGGACCTATGCCACCCACACGAGTGATACCATTTCGGACTTTCCCAACTGAAACCACACTAACTAAGCAGGAGTGCCACCCAGTCTACCCAGATCTGTGAGAAATCAAATGCTGTTGGTTTAAGCCATTGAGTTTTAGGGTGGTTAGATAACTGAAACAGCCAGAAAATAGCTTTCCAGCCAGACCAAATGCCAAATCTATGAATGAGAAGCACCATGATGGCAGCTAAAGATTGTTTATCAATGGAAATGATACAACTCCTTCAATCTGAGCACACCCATTGGCTAAACATTCAGCTCAGTAAACCTGGATCTATACTGTAAACCTAGATCTATACTGTACCAGGCTCAACAGTGTCAACAGTAACAGCAGCCAATATTTACCAAGTGTTTATTACACACTAGGCATTGTGCTAAATCCTTTTTTCATTTAATCCCTTACAAAAGCCTTTCGAGGTGGGCCACCATAATACCCACTTTACAGATGAGGTCACTGAGGAGTAGAGTGATACAGTGACTTGCCTGGGATCACATTGCTAGTAAACAGTGACATGGGATTTCACTCCTGGCCATCGGACACCACAGACCCCAAGCTCTTAACTCTCAAGCTTGTTTTGCCCCTTCAAAAGTGTTATGCGACTTTAACAAAACTGCCCCTTCTTTTGCTTTGCTTTTTTTTTTTTTTTGAGATGGAGTCTTGCTCTGTTGCCCAGGCTGGAGTGCAGTGGCAGGCCCAGGTTTAAGTGATTCTCTTGCCTCAGCTAGGATTACAGGTGTGCACCACCACGCCAGGCTAATTTTTGTAATTTTAGTGGAGATGGGGTTTCACCATGTTGGCCAGGCTGGTCTCAAACTGCTGACCTCAAGTGATCTGCCCACCTCTGCCTCCCAAAGTGCGGGATTACATTCGTGAGCCACCATGCCCAGCTGAAACTGCACCTTCTGAGTTAATGTGTGTAAAGAATTTAACGCTGCCTGGTCTATGGTAAGTTTTCAGTAAACACCAACTCTTACTATTAGGAAACCTGCAGATGTGGAAGGAAGATGAGAGGAAGTACTGGATATGACTTGCATACAGTATGCCCCCAACTAATGTTAGTTATTTGGATGATTTATATAGTGCTTCTTCACCAGCAAGCACTCCAGTACTTGGTAATTTTCTGTTTACGAGTAGGCTCTCCCCACAGCCTGTGAGCTCTCTTGAGCATAGAGCTGTTTCCAACACATCCTTGCAGGTCCAGGGCCCATCATGTGGCCTGGCCCAGAGCAAGTAGCTGCTCAAGAAATGTTTCTTGAAAGGAGAGAAAATGCTTCCTTCCTTCACCACAAATGTGAACTTGGATTTCCAAGATGACACCTCCCCCAGCTACCAGCCCTTAACATGATTCCAAAGAAGAGGGCAAGAAGGGACAAGGGACCCACCCAAGAAATGCGGGGCCAATGGGCTCCATGGGATAAGAGATGGAGCTGCACTGTGGCCAAGGCACTTGAGAAGTCCGTGCCACACCCAGAGCGGGACCTGTCCCTCCCTCCCCACACTCCTAAAAGTCCCCAGGAAAAGGGAGAGGCCCTGAGATAGAAGTCACCCACCTCCGAAGTGGCAGGCCCCGCTGTCCTCCCTGAGTCGACTGGGACTTGGGACTACCCTTTCGACCCATCCCGGGGCAGCTGCAGGCGCAGAAAGAAAAAAAGTGACAGGAAGTCAAAAGTTTCCCAACAACAAAAATCCTTCCCCCGATGAAAGGGCTCCCACCCTCAGCCCGCCCCGCACAGGGAGGAGGGACGGCCACAAGTGGATCTAGGGAGTTGGGGGTCCCGCTGTTCTGGTCCCGACGACGGCCTGGCCTGAGGCTCCCCTGCCCCGCGCTTCGTGCACCCTGAATTCTTTGAGAGGGTCCCAGGGAAGGGTAGGAGTGTCCCAACTCTTACTTACAGTCATCTTGCAAGTCCACAAAGTACAGGGGGATCTCTGAAAACCAAGAAACACACACGGAGTTACCAAGGGGCTGCGGTGGGAGAGGTCGGGTCGGGGTTGGGTAGGAGGTCCCCGGCCTCGCGGAGTGGTCACGGGGCGAGAGGGAGGGGAGCAGCCCGGGAGTCCCGGAAACCCAACCCCACTCACCCGCCATCTTGGGATGGGCCTGAAGGAGGGACCGGCAGGACCCGGGGAGGGCGGAGAGGGGGCGGGGGGGCGGGGGGGGGGGGTCTGTGAACGGGGGCGGGGCCATCGGTTTCAGGCCCCGCCCCCGGCCCGCGCCGGCCGGCCGGCCCCGCCCTCGCAGCAAAGGTGGCTGCCGAGGTGGGCGTGGAGGTCAGGTGACCCGGCCGGCGTCCCAAGATGGCGGCAGCGGCGGCGCCCGGAAGGCCGCGGCGGCGTCCAGGCTGCTAAGGCGGGCCCCAGGCGGCTGGCAGTGGACAAGTCGGACCTAGTGCTGGAGGACGGGCGGCAGCCGCCTCTGCGCGAACCGGGCCTGGGCCGTGCGGCGGCGGTGGCGCCAGGGGATGCTCTTGCTAGGCCCGGCCTCTCCCTCCTCAACTTAGGACGGCGGCGGGCCCGCGCCCCTGGCTCCCGGGCCATGGCACTGAGGGAGCTCAAAGTGTGTCTGCTGGGGGTGAGTGGCGGTGGGTCCAGCCGGGAGGGCCACGGGAGGCTGGGCGGACAAGGACCCCAGATCCCCCACGTCCTCTCACCCCCTCCCCCGCCTCCGTCAGAGATGCTGTCTGCCAGCTCCGGGGACCCTCCCTCCACGTCGGGAGCGGTGCCGCCCACCTCTTGCACCTTCCAAAAGGTCCTGGAGGCCGCAGGGACCCTTCCACTTCCCCGTCCCGGAGCCTGTGGACTCTTTCCGTCCCCCAAAGAGCAAACAGAACCCCCCCTTGCCTCTCCATTGCATCTGGGTTAAGAGAGGCTCTAAAATAGTTTTCTCCAACTTACCAAGTTATTAATTGGGAGTTGGCCAAGTCTTCCAAAGTAAAACCAATAACCGGTCTTTAGGTTTTACAAGCGGAATTAGCCTACTTTGTCTCTTGGGTGTTTTTGAACTTGTAGGATACCCCTGCCGCTTCTCCAAAGAGTTATTTTGTCAAGTAACTCTTCTGTGTAGAAAAGGGGTATTTAACTCAGGAAGCCCCAAAGACTAGTTTGAAGCTTCAGCTTCCTGTCTTGTCAGGAAGGACAAGGTGTTGGCCATTTCAATGACTTCTTTCTGAGATTGATGCTGGCATTTCAGAGTTTCTGCCTTAAAGATCGGCAGGAACTCCAGTAACTAATCTTTATTGCCCCCAAATAGAGTGGGGCTAGGATTCATCAGGGATTACTCAGAGGTAACTCAGGAGTTCAGAGTTTACTAACAGGTTAAAAAGCAAGTAGACTTGTTACCTTTTACGAAGCAGAAACTTTGGGTCTTTCAAAAGGTCCTAATCTGTCTTAAAAACTGCAAAAACCTCTCCTTTTTAGTACATTTAGAATCTCCTAATTACTACACTGAATTGTTATGACAACTGCTTTTGTGTTCCTCAATTTATAAAATTTACACATCTAGGGTGATTTTTTTTTTTAAATCCTGAACTTATGCCACAAAGTAATTTTGGGTGTCTGCAAGAAGGTAAACTTTTTCTCAGTCACTCATCTCATTCTCTTTCAGGATACAGGTGTAGGTAAATCGAGTATTGTGTGGCGGTTTGTGGAAGACAGTTTTGATCCAAACATCAATCCAACAATAGGGTAAGAGATATTTATTTGATACACATCTAAAGATGCATTGAAAACCCTTCCAGATAAATAGTGGGTTACAGATGGAGGCCCTGCACTTTATATTCATTGAATTCTGAGTCGCTGGTTCGCATTGTCTCTGGAAGGACTTGAAAGAGTCCAGTGAGGATCTGTGTATTTTAGTAAAATTATCTTCGACTTGTGGGGGATGAAACATCAAAATGCAAATATGAATTGGAGTTTTACTAATTATTAGAATAGACACAGAAGCTTCAGTCTATAAATACCCACAATGGAAATAAGGCAGATGAAAACAGATCCGGTGCTCTTCTAACAGGCATATCAGGTAAAAGACATTTAGATGGGTTTGTCCTTCCTGAAAGTAGTAGGATGAGATCTGAACCCTTACACATCCTTGTATTGGTAGTAATAATGAATTTAAAAATCCGTATTGAAATGGAAGGTTTCTTCAGGTCTCTGGTTCCATGGCAAGTGAGGTTGATTGTTCCTGTGTTTTTGACTCTATAAAACTTGTCATGTCAGTACTAATCCTTTGACTACATAAGAAGTTGTGTTTTATAGGCTTTAATACTATGTTAGGATTATAAAACAAAAAAGGTGCTGTGTTCTAGTTTTATTGTCAAACCCTCAATCAAATGTTTTCCAACATTTAAATAAAAGTTCTGTATTATCCATCATTAGGATAAAATTGGCCTTTGTGCTCTATACAGAGCATTCTTTGCCTAATAGAGAAATATTTTACAGCCCAGCAGAGAAACTGCCATAAGATTGTCCCCTGAGAAATTATAAGCTACTGTTGTCAGGTTATGTGTTCAATTTTTTTATTGTTTTTTTAGACAGATTCTTGCTCTTGTTGCCCAGGCTGGAGTGCAATGGCTCACTGCAACCCCTGCCTCTGGGGTTCAAGCAATTCTCATGCCTCAGACTCCCGGGTAGCTGGGATTACAGGCTCCTACCACCACGCCTGGCTAATTTTGTAATTTTAGTAGAGATGGGGTTTCACCATGTTAGCCAGGCTGGTCTCAAACTCCTGACCTCAGGTGATCTGCCTGCCTCAGCCTCCCAAAGTGCTGGGATTACACTCGTGAGCCACCGTGCCGGGCATATGTGTTCGATATTTTTTATCTGTTTTTTTTTTCACCCAGGCTGGAGTGCAGTGGCATAATCAAGGCTCATGGTAGCCTCAACCTCCTGGGCTCAAGCCATCCTCCCACCTCAGATAGCTGAGACACAGATGCACACTGCCACACCTGACTTATTTTTTGTATTTTTAGTAGAGATGGAGTTTCACCGTGTTACCCAGGCTGGTCTGGAACTCCTGGGCTCAAGTGATTCACCCACCTCAGACTCCCAAAGTGCTAGAATTATGAGTATGAGCCACCACACCCAACCTATCTGCTTTCTTAAACCCTGTGGGTGCCCTACACATATGAAAGCATGGGGATGAAATTCACCAATAAATTTCTGCAATTAAAATGCTTTTCAGTATCCTTTAAGAGCTAGTTGTGACCACATGTAAAACATGACCCCATCATCCTCAGGGCCTGCCTATCACTACCTGCATGGGAAGGTGTTGGAAAGTGCTGGTAATTCAGCAAGTGACACACTTCGCACTGAGTCAGAGCTGAAAACCCAGAACCCACAAGACACCCAGACACCACCTCAGCTAGAAGTGCTCTCTCAAATGAGAGAAAAGTGAAGGGTGTAGCTTCATGCATCTTGGTGAGGCCCATGGGCCTGTCTTAAGTGTCCACTGTTCCCTTTTTTGCCAGTGGCTCCCAATCTGCCAGATGCCTATGACTCCTGAGCTGCCTCTGGTCCATTCTCTGCACCCAGAGATTTGGCTCACATTTTCACAGGAAAAAAACATACAAGGCTTTCTCCTCATTTCTTTTTTCTGCCTTTCTTTCGTTTGTTTCTTTGTTTTTCCTCAGCTTTAGAAGGTGGCTTCCTCCTTTGTGACAAATCCCCAAACGTACCCCTGAGCTCTGGAGCCCCACCTCACTATCACTTACCCTGTTTCTTCCTCAGTCCTATGCCTGCACACAGGTTCCCGATCCACCCCACTCCACTACAAGAGCACTGTTCCCCAACCTGCTGCTCAAATGGTGGAACTCCTGAAAGAGAAGTTACCACTTCCCCAGCTGCTGCTCACACCCCAGCCCTCTGTCTCAGTTCCACCTCACCATGCCACTAAAACCATCTTCCCTTAGTACCAGTTTCCATCTAATAGCCAAAGTTGGTGGCCTTTTTTTGGTAGTTTTTTTTTGTATTCATAGAGTACCTACTACATGCCAGGTGCTAGACTGGGTGCTAGACCGGGGTCGGCAAACTGTGGCCCTTTCACCCACCTCCTGTCTTTGTAAAGAGTTACTGAAACAGTCACACTCATTTATTTACTTATTGTCTTGCTGCTTTGGGGCTATAATGACCAACTTGAATAGTTGCAACTAAGACTTGATGGCCCACAAACCCAAAAACATTTGGTACTTTTCAGAACAAGTTTGATGACCCCTGATTTAGACAAAATGGACTTCTGTCCTTATAGACCTTACCTACAAGGAGGAGCTACATTATGACTAATATGCAAGAAATGATTTATTCTTTTTTTTTTTTTTTTTTCTTTTTTGAGACGGAGTCTTACTCTGTCGTCCAGCTGGAGTGCAGTGGCAGGATCTCGGCTCACTGCAACCTCTGCCTCCCAGGTTCAAGCCATTCCCCTGCCTCAGCCTCCTGAGTAGCTGGAACTACAGGCCATACCCAGCGAATTTTTTGTATTTTAGTAGAGACAGGCTTTCACCATGTTGGCCAGGTTGGTCTCGATCTCCTGGCCTCCTGATCCTCCCACCTTGACCTCCCAAAGTGCTGGGATTACAGGTGTGAGCTACCATACCCGACCAATTTATTCTTTTTTTTTTTTTTTTTTTGGAGACTGAGTCTTTATTGCCCAGGCTTGATGGTAGTGGCACAATCTTGGCTCACTGCCTCAGCCACCTGTAGTTGGGATTACAGGTGCCTGCCACCATGCCCAGCTAATTTTTGTATTTTTAGTAGAGATTACAGGTGTGAGCCACAGCACCTGGCCAACCCTAGGCAGTTTAATCTCTGATCTGTTTCTTCATAAGCACTTAAGGATAATGATAGGACTGGCCCCATATTGTTAGGAGAATTCCAGGAGAGGTGTATTTAAAATGCTTAGGAAAGTGCAAGGGACACTGGAGCTCAATAAATGGCAGTTATTATTCTTTTTTAATTTTTATTTTTTAGAGACAAGGTCTTGCTCGGTCACGCAGGCTGAAATGGAGGGACACTCTGAGCTCACTGCAGCCTCAAACTCCTGAGCCGAAGCAATCCTGCTTCTCAGCTTCCTGAGTAGCTTGGACAACAATAGCACGAGCAGTATACACTCATGCCTTGCTAATTTTTTTTCTTTTTTGTAGAGATGAGATCTCACTGCATTGCCCAGGTTGATCTTGAACTCTTGGCCTCAAGAAG